CTGCCTGCGCGAACCTGCACGCCACCAAGTACACGTCCGGTCAGAAGGATTTGAGGAGGAGGTCGTTTTGTCTCGCCAATTTTGGCGAAGCGGTCCCGCCCGCCCGTCGAGATTCCCGCGGTGTGCGGGCCTGCAGCCCATCTAGGAGACTTCTTCCTCAGAGAGCTTTGCGTCATCAGCGGCTTGCATTTTTCCTATTTTATCTGGATTGGACCTGTGCAGGCAGTTGTCTCTTTTCTTTCCTTTTTTCTTCTTCTCTTAATTTTCACCGTTCATTATCTTACCTACCACTACTCCTAAATCTATGTAGGGGACCCTGCCCTAATAGGCGGTGGTCAGGGAGTAGGGGGGGGCCGCGGAGGGGGGGGCCTGCTAACGCAAAGACTGAGCATTTTCCCAGTAGCTGCGCCTCCCATCTAGGGGCCTTCGTCGGATGTAGAGATTTTGGTTTTCAGTTTTCTTAAGCCCTGAGTGGCTTTGTTGGATGTAGGCCTTGTGGTTTTCAGTTTTTTTAAAGCCCCTAGTGGCTCAGGCCTCCTGCTGCTGGTATAGTGTAGGCAGGTGTACCTCCTGTGGACCAATAGGCTCTGGTACAGGAAGAGCGGTCTGCCTAATGACGCTTCAGTTACCTTCGGACTTCTGCAGAGGACCGAAAGGAAATAGGAACAGTACCTGAGGCAGTGAGTCCGAAAGGGAGTAGGGCTTGAGTGACTACTTTTGGGATATAAGCAGTTACTGTGTTCTCCACTATCTTTTCGGGTCTGACGTCAACAAAGCTAGCCATCTTCGGAAAGGGCTGGAGGTACGAGGACTTGCGGTGGGTTAGCGGACTGTACGGAACAGTTTCGGGAGAAGCAGGGTTGTTCCCCCTGAGGAGGACCGCGTGGCAGCGGTCGAAACCAGTCGGGGTGCCATATCTGTCCGGAACATAGTTAGTACCTGATGTATGTACGCTTGAGAATGCTACTATGCGGATGGGTACTTGAGTTTTGCAATTGATTGGTGTATTTTGCATATGCAGTGGTGTATGTATTGTAGACTTGTCTTTGTAATCTCTCATCACTACAATCTTTGAAAGCGCATGTGAACCTACCTGGAGACGTGTTGCTGGGTGTTGTGTGAGCATGTAAGACTACGTGGATGATTTGATTTGGTTCGTCGAGGTCAGAAGTGACGATTTTCGGTCATATACTGAGCGCAGTGAGCGGCTAACAGCGACGAAGCGGAGACAAGGTTGGAGCGACGAGTCACAACCAAGCGGACGAACACGGGACGGCGTGACAAAGAAGTGGACGAAGATGGGCGATCGTAGCTACCGAACACACGACAGAGAAGCCAGGAACGACCACTACGAAAGGGGACGGGATACCAAGCGAGAAGAGCCTAGAGACAGAACACGTGGAAGGAGCCGGAACGACTATCATGAAGGGAGTAATCGAGGCTATGGAGGCGACGATTACGTAAGAAGAGGACCGCCGATATGCTTCGAATGCGGCAAGCCAGGCCACTATAAGAACCAATGCTGGAATCGAAGCGAGGCAAGTGTTACAAAAGGTGGAGCGAGCAGATCGGGTACTCAGAAACCCGAACAAGTCGTCGACGAGCAGGTGAAGAAGCAACTCGAAGACTTCGGCAAATCCGTGGCAAACTTCCAGGAGTACATCGAGAGGGAGAACAAGAAGAAAGAGGAAAAAGAACGCAGAAGGCAGGAGAAGCTAGAGCGGGAGCAACGTGAGGAAATGGAGCGCCAAGCAAAAGAGGAAGCACGTAAAACGAAAGAAAGCCGGATCGCGAAGAAGCAAGCAACGAAGAAGAAAGAGGAGGAGGAGAAATTGAAGTTTGGCAAGGCGATGCGTCTGCACACGGCAGTGTGTGTAGGTGGTTTGAGATAACAGATGCAAGAGGAGATGAGGAGGAACATGGAGGTGTTCCACTCCATAATCAAAGGGAAGCAGGCAGCGACATCGCCAATGATATCGTCATCGAGATCATCGACATCGTACACCAGCAATTGGACAGCGAGTGAAGTGGACAAGATTAGTCAGAAGTGGAAGGGCCTGACAATCAAGGAGAAGCGGAAGAGGAGTCCGGAAGTTACTATTGGCAGCAGTCCAGCGATGGAATTGCCACCAAAACGGACACCTCGGAAAACGACGATAAAGTCGGTCAAACTGGCGGCCAAGCTGCATGCGACGACATCCAAGAAGACCACGAAGAAGACGGTTCAAGTCAGACAAAGGGGGAAACAAGACTCCAAAAAGATACACACCGAAGAAAGGAACGCCAAAAATTAAGATAACCGCCAGGATCGGATCGGCCGGGAAGACTAAGTTCGTGGTTGATAACATGCAACAACTTACCGAGTTCCAGGCGGACGACCTCAAGCGTTTTATGTCGGCATTAAGAGTTGGACTACGATAACAAGGTGCTTGCAGTTATCAATGTTGCCAAGAAACGAGCGAAAGAGGCCTACGGTGAAGATGAGATAACGGTTGATGCCGAGAACGAAGCGACATCCGTGAACCAAGTGGCATCTGACACGTTCAGTGAAGGGGACGAGGAGGATTGACTCGCGGATGATGGGCCCGTGCTATGGGGACTTTGCCACGGGCTCATCAAACACCGGAAGGAGTCGAGTTTCGAGACTGCAGTTGAAAGACTGTATTGAGTCGTGGTTGTACTACTGGGAATTACGGGAAGAGTGAAGTGGCTATCGAAGTATACGACATCATGGATCAGATTGTACAAGAAGTACGACACAAACTTCCAGGACAGACATAGAGACATCTATACACTGGTATCACCACGATGTAAAGCATCATACATTGGGCAAACCAGCAGAGATATCAACATGAGGTGGAAGGAACATGTGGTGGGAAGTGCAAGGAACGAGAGGAGCACACACCTATACCGCTGGTGGAGAGTGTTCGGAGCAGAGTCGTACGCCATCCTACCAATTGATAAAGAAGCCACGCACAACCTAATGGAACTCGAAAAAAATGTACATACGAAAATGGTCATCAGTCCTGAATGTGAGCGGGGTGGCTAAGAAGTCCAAATGGAAGGAAGAAACAACGAAGAGGAAAAACTGAATGGGAACGAGAGAAGTGCAAGCAGAAGGCGAGTGGGGAAAGGCGAGCCGTCGAGACGGTCAAAGTCCGACTGAACGATGACGAGGCATGAAAGTGCAACGTGTACAAGGTCTTGGTGGAAGTCGAACAGGCAGGCGCGAGAACATTCCGGCTGTACTCGTCAGGCGGTAACAGTTGAATCGATGGATGGAAGAAGATTAGGAAAGCATTTGGAGCAGCCACCGTCGAGATTGGCGGGCAAACGACGAAGCTGGCCAAATGCAGATGTCGCATGGAGCAGGGCGAAGACGTCCAAGTCAAGTACCTGAGGAAGTGGAAACCGAAGAGCGGACCCGACAAGAAGATGTTGATAGCACTACTACGCAACCCGAGGAAGTTACAACAGGTGAAACAAGCAGACGTCGACACTATGTTTAGACTGTACAAAGCAGCGAAGGAATTCCAAGAAAAGTCAACACGATCTTACCTGAGGCGGATCATTGGTAGGATGACCAAGGAGAAAATAGGATGGGTGATGGGAGCTGGTTTCACCGTGAAGGTCAAGTACGACGACAGGGTGAAGTTAGCAGAAGTCAGGACGGTTATCAACAATAAGATCGAAGAACCAGCGTTACTTGCATGTATGGCGAAGCGGATATGAAGTAAAGTACGAACGGTCTGGGCAAAAGACCAGTCCGTTGCGGAAATACTGCACAACCAACGTATTTTCTCTCTCGCGGTTGTGTCCACCTGCACGTGCGCAGGTCTCCCCTATCCAAGGGTAGGGGAACATGTAAGCTTCCGTCTACATGAGGTACCACGAGTGCACCCGTGCTATGTAACACAAATAATATACCCAAGGCGCGATATCCGGACCGTGTGAATTTGCTTCGCCAGGAGATTGAACAAGCATTTGGGCAAGGAAGGAATGAAAGTGGACAAGCAGTGCGCGTGACTTGAGAAGAGGTCAGATCTTGTATGATACGCCGCGAAACACCGAGAGAGATTTGTTTGGACATCGAGGTCGTAAAGCAGACTAGGAGGAGATTTGCGGGTTTGGTTCTGACACCTCTGGACAGGAATCCAGGGGAGACGTTCGTGATGTGCCCATATCTCTACTTTGAAGCAATGATGAGCACGTTTGTCATCAATCTCGACTATGAAGTCGTACAACAAAGCGATGAAGAAATCAAGGAAGGAGTGCAACGGCTATTCAAGGAGGAGGACTTAGCTAAGTTTGCCAGATAAGCAAAGGACCTTCGGTGTGGCATACATCCTACCTAAACACAAGGACGTCGAAAGGTACCGTCCCATATGTCCGTCATACTCGGATCCAGCAACAAAGACAAAGAGATGTATCGCCAAAGCTCTGAATCACATGTTGTTCAAACTGCCGGCTTACTAACACTTCAACCTGCGATCAGTCTCAGATGTGACCCAGCGCATTGAGAGGATTAACAGGAGATGTGATGCTCTGGCTAGCTCTGTGGTGCAGTTGGTTGTCATTTCCTCTGACATCAAGGACATGTTCAACAAACTGTCACACCGAGACATAATGGAGGCGGTCAATTGGATCATTGACCACTATATAAGCAAAGGACAGGACACCATCCGGGTGAACACGAGAGGGAAAGGGTGTATGTTTGGGAGGACGACAGACGCTGACCACTGGAGGGCGATGAAGCTCGAAGACATCAAGAACTTCGTCCATGTCGACTTGGAGCATACATATATGTATGCAACACGGTTACTCCTACGACAAATTGTAGGCATTCCGATGGGTAAGAGCACATGCCCACCGCTAGCGTGCATACTATATGCGTACTCGAAATTCAAAATCTTGAACAGCCGGGGAAATCTGAGGAGCAGTGTACATGGCCTGCGTTTCATGGATGACGTCAGCCTCATCATCGACGTGGGAAGGAGACTGGAGAGCACAATGGAGATGAGGATGAAAGACAGTTTTAAAGTATGTTACCCGGACAACCTGACACTGAAGAGGACCGATGAGGGCAAAGGAATCTAGGATTTCCTAGGACTGGAGATGCGTGCGAGGAGTGTACCATCGTACGTGAGTAGTGTCCAAGTCTCGAGGAACGAGAAGTCAATGTGGGGGACTGAGTCTCTGGAATTCAAGAATGGCCAGAGCTATCAATCATGGGGCAACAAGCAGGCGAAGAGTGCAGTAGTGGCCAGCTACCTGCACCGCATCGACAACAACACGACCTTACGGCCGAAGATACCATGGCGGGTGCTCACACTCAGCAGGGAGCTGAGATTGAAAGACTTTCCGGATGACTTTGTCAAAAGGAAGCTGAAGCGGTTCAGCACCGGAAGAGGCGAGATCTAGGGACTTACAAGTGACTGGATTTGTTATATGTAGGGGTTGCATGATAGTTGCATGTATAGTAGTATATGTGTCTTAGGTGAATTTGTGATGAGGGATTACAGACGATATTAATCGGCCTGCATTAGGATCTACAAGCTGCATGTCTCATTTCTACCTGCGATTCTGTTTTTAGGGCTTATAGTATGACGATGGTACAAAAAACGAAGGGCTTTGCATGCGTGCGTGTGTGGGGAGTACGACAATCGTGTAACAGTAAGTCGAATCTTAGTAAGAAGGCATCTGCTAGGTGGACTAGAAGCTAAGTGCCCCACGGGATAGGGGCCTGTCGTGGGACACAGGGAAGTTGACTCTCGTTTTATAGGCCTGTTGCAGATGTTTTTTCCGACCGGCAATCTGTTTTGTGACCTTGGAGTATGGACTTGTGCAGGGGTAACGAAGGGCATTGTGTGTGTGTGGTGTATATGATACCTGTGCAACAGTAGAGTTACTCTACTTGTGATGATTGCGGTACGCTTAGACTAAGGGACGGGGTTCCAAGAGATAGGGGCCTTCGTCGAATATAGAGATTTTGGTTTTCAAAGCCCTGAGTGACTTTGTTAGATGTAGGCCTTGTGGTTTTCAATTTTTTTAAAGCCCCTAGTGGCTCAGGCCTCCTGCTGCTGGTATAGCATAGGCAGGTGTACCTCTTGTGGACCAATAGGCTCTGGTACAGGAAGAGCGGTCTGCCTAATGACACTTCAGCTACCTTCGGACTTTTGCAGAGGACCGAAAGGAAATAGGAACAGTATCTGAGGCAGTGAGTCAGGAAGGGAGTAGGGCTTGAGTGACTACTTTGGGGATATAAGCAGTTACTGTGTTTTCCACTATCTTTTCGGGTTTACCGTCAACGGAAGCTAGCCATCTCCGGAAATGGCTGGAGGTACGAGGACGTGAGGTGGGTTAGCGGACTTACGAAACAATTTCGGGAGAAGTAGGGTTGTTCCCCCTGAGGGAGACCGCATGGCGGCGGTCGAAACCGGTCGGGGTGCCATACCTGTCCGGAACACCGTTAGTACCTGATGTATGTACGCATGAGAATGCTACTATGCGGATGTGTACTTAAGTTTTGCAATTGATTGGTGTATTTTGCATATGAAGTGGTGTATGCGTTGTACACTTGTCTTTGTAATCTCTCATCACTACAATCTCCCATCTACTTCCCATCTTTTTTTTTTTTTTTTTTTTTTTTTTTTTTTTTTTTTTTTTCTCCCCCCAAGGGCCCCCCCCCCCCCCCCCCCCCCCCCCCCCCCCCCCCCCCCCCCCCCCCCCCCCCCCCCCCTCTTCCCGTACCCCCCCCCCCCACCAATCAATCCCCCCCAACATCATTTGAATTTGCAACCATCATCATCTTCTTCCCGAGATAATATGGTCACAATGCAGCAGTTTGAAGAACTCAAGTCCCAATTACTCCAGCAGACCAAACTCAATCAGCAACTTTTACTCCAGAAAGAAGACGACAATCAAGCATACAACCAGCTCTATCGAGTCTTAATTACAAATATCGACTCCTGGATGCTCAACGTTCTTCCCAAATCTCCTCCGTCCTGCGATGAGTTGAAAGCATGGAAGTAGCTGTTTCAGAGACCTTGCTATTATTGGCAGATCGCTTCGGTAATCAGATGCAAGGCTGTCAATCTCAAATACTCGGCCTATCCTTTTGGCAAGATTTATGCTCTCGATTTCATCTCCCGAGTTTCTTCTATCGCCAAGGACTGCATGGAACGAAGAATCTCTAGAGAAGTCAAGTCTCTTCTGAACCGCGCTGCTAAAGAAGGAATGGAGCAAGCCCTACCTCTAATTGACGCGGGATATCACTACTGCCTCAACAGAGCTCAACAGGAGAAAACCAGGTACGTTAGGGCGGCCACCCGACCTTTAATTCTCGCCCTGGACTGTTAAAAAGGTCCACACATTTTGCGTTCATGGGCTTATCGATTACTATGCATCTTGCAGAGCCGAAAGAGCGGAACTGGAAGGCAAGACCCCATACAAGAAGAAGACCGACTCCTCCAGGCACGAAGATGAACGAACTTCCTATGACAACTCTAGCAGGGGCTACGACTACGAACGTGGAGCAAAGCGTGTTCACTCAGACGCAGATTCTCGCAGAACCGACAGTGGCACAAAGCACGATAACGCCGCAGCATAACCTTCCCCCCTTCTCTATTCCTTCAGTTCCTGTTATTCTTTCCAATCTATCTAAGCCACCTTCCTCTCAAGATCTCCGAAAAACATTTTTTGCCCTCAAAGAACCTCTTTCTTGGCTTCGTTCTCCGGATGACTTCTCTGCAGCTTCACCCTCTTCTCACTTTTCAAATTGGAGCCTCTTGCTATCCTCTTCCACCCGTCGCTTCTCCCACCCTGTTCTTCAATGGATCAAGCACGGAGTTCGCCTTAATTTCGTAGTCACCAAGCATGTACCAGTTTCCAAAATCATAGAAGTTCATCACATGGTCAATAATGTTTACTCTTCATCTCAGTTTAAGCGTGTCCTATCCCTTTCTCAACCTCCCCCCACC